TTCCATATACATAAATCCCAAGTGTCTGTGCTTGTATGCTGATGGTTATAAATTATGTAACTGAACTCCAGGAACAACCTAGACTTAAATGAGTTACCAGTTAAGTAATAAAAATGTATAGATTTCCTTCCCGGGAAACAAAAATATTTATTAGGAGGCAGTATATGATTTCCTGAGGTCAATATTTTTAAAAAAATTTTGAACTGTCAACAACATGTAGTAACTCTTTGTAAAAAGTGACACAAGGGAAATACATGAGCCTGGAAAGCAGTCTTTCATTTAAAAAAAAATATTGTTTAATATACTTAACCAACTCTGAAAGAGTTAAAGTGATCTCATACAGTCTGTTTTAATAATATCAAGTATCAAGACAGCACTGTTTGCTCAATGTTCTAGTCTTCTATTTAAAGTTGCAGCTATCTCACTGTTATTTACAATCAAATTAAATGGTTTTATTACACCTGGGAACAGTTAAACATTGGCTGTCAGCTGTAAACAATTACAAGAGACAATGAAATTAGTAGATTTTTCTTAAATAGTCATGTATCCTTAATCTAATGTGCCACTGTTAACATAGGTGACATTGATGTAGATTTTCTTTGTGCATTATATATCTGATCCAAAGTTCACTGAAGTCAGTGCAAAGACTACAAGGGCCCACTGAAGTCAATAAGTAGGTATACTAGAAGATAAAATCTCATCTGCTGTAAATCAGTGTGATTCCATTGATTTAAATATAGCTGCATCAGTTTACGCTAGCTCAGAATCTACCCCTATGGCGTCAGCCTAATTTGAGTGCAAGCTCTCTGTGGTAGTGGCTGTACCACCTCCGACAGCATGTTTTGTACAGCACTGTGCACATAGAGCCTTACTGCAAGTGAAAGCCCATGGGAGTGAATGGGAAACCTTCCATTGATTTCAGTGAGCTTTGGATCAGGCCCATAGATTTCATTCAATAAATAAATACATACATAAATAAATAATCGGTCCAATTCTGCAATCCCTATTCTGGTTGCAGAACTTAATAACTACACAGTTCATATTTTACCCTCTGCCCTTGTTACTGCTATCCCAGTTAACATTCATATCTTCAAGGCCTTCAGGCAGTTCCCTCTGTCGTCAATTTTTTATTGTTTTTGACAGTGTAATACTAAAAAAATTTAATGTATATTTACCTTAGCCAACTCATCATAAATTATATGGGCCAAAATTCACTCTCCATTACACCTGAGCAATCCCACTAATTCCAGTAAGGTGCAACTGGGCCACATGTCTACACACAGGAATGCCTCTATCTTTACATATGCTAAAAGCTCAAAACTCTTCTTAGCCATCTCAGATGTCAAGTTATAGGCAATACTTTTGTAATTACTCAAGGCTTTTGTTTCTCACATGCTCACAGTCACTGGAGAGCACTACAGCTGTTTTATTCACTTCTAGAAATGGACTTATCAGGAGCTGTAGCAAGAGGACCTTGCAGCTGCAACACTGAGGTAAGAACTAGTGCTGAGTGGTAGAGTTTCAAGGGCAAAGCTCTAGATGTAAAGAATAATAAAACAAAACCTAAACTCTCCTATTTATATCTAGTGACGGATATACTCCAGCTATGATAAATTATGAAAGCTCCCCCAGACTTCTTACAGAATAGTCATAATTCACCCGTTCCCGTTATCCTGGAGGTATGTAAAGGCTGAGGTAACAGTTCTGGTGTAATCAAGTTGGAAAACATCTGCCAAAGTAAACCTTTATTTAGTGCATACTATATAATATTTATAGAGCAAAGCTATGAATGCTTCTTGAGCCATTTTAGGAACTGGAAACTGAATTGTACTTTCTGAAGGTTTATCTTGACTTTCTCCGACTGCTTCTTTTACTTTATAGCATTTCACTGGCAAGCTGCCATTAAAACTGTTGTCTAATTACACAGCATATCAGAAGCTTGCAGCCCCATAGATAGCATTTTGTGTAGTATAACTGGATTTTAAACATTATCATCTGAGTGAAAGAAATTACTCCCCAGATTAACATATTTAAAAAATAAAGCCCTGTGTGTCAATAGCAATCATTATTTGTTTAGGGAAATGTGATTTTGGATGAGGAACTTATTTCAGAGGTTAAACACCCTAATATTTAACAGGCTACAATTTGATGGGCTCGTTAGATGACTTACCCCTTAGGTATGGCAGGAGTTTATTCACATGTAATTACACATTTAGACAATATCTTAATGATGATATGAAATACTTCCACTGACTCAGTCCATCTGGAGATTATGGTGGTGTTCTGATTACATAGCCACATGTTAAATTATGATTCACAGAACCTATGCTTTTCACTTACAACATTTGGATATGGATGTTCTTGAAATACAAGGCAACATAGGTGGGGATCATTTAACACAGTTGTGCGCTTTCATGAAGACATGTTAATTTGCATTGATATGTAGTTAAAGAATAGTGTAGATGTTTGACTCTTTTTGATCTGATAGCAAAAACTTAAATACTTACTAAAATATTATATATCCAGATGGGTTTGCTTTTTAAAGTTATTCCAATACTCTGCTTTAAATAACTGACTTCATTTAAGCACTCTCAATTTTTCATTTTGAAGAAACTGTGCCCTTCATTTACTTTATGTAAACTTTGCTGACAACAAGCTAGAATTATTTTGTAGTTCTGAATTAATGCTTGACTTACATCACCTGATGATTACCTGTTTTGTTCATTCCCTCTAAAGCACCTGGCATTGGCCACTGTAGGAAGACAGGATACTGAGCTACATGGACCATTGGTCTGACCCAGTATGGCCGTTCTGAAGTTCTTATGTGCATGGGGGGAAAAACAGGTAAACAAATCCATGTTTTATTTAATTTTTGGCACTGCGTACAAACATTCTGCAAATCTGAAAATATCTATGAAATGTCAGCAAGAATATTAACTACTTTCTAATTTTATTATGTGTTGGGTGAAAAACAAAAAGACCTAAGCATAATGCCAGATGGATTAAGGGGAGTTGCTCCTACCTAAGGACTGTAGGATTGGAGCTCTGATCATGTGTATGTTTGTGTTTCCCTTTATTCTCTTTCCTCAGATAGGGATCCATCCTGTAGGCACTTACACATGTAGGTAACTTTATCCAAATGAATAGTTGTACTGATTAAAATAGGACTACTCACCAGAGTAAAGTTACTTGCCTGCATAAATGTCTACAGAATCAGGCCCTTAGTACTTCCCATTCCCTTCCTGAAGCAATATGCTCACACAAAATCTATTTACTTTACAAGTAGAGGAATACACATTTAGAAATACATTTATGAGAAGCACAGTACTCTGCTCTATTAAGAAACATGGTACAATAAAGGTAACAGCTAAGTACAGGCTAACCCATTGAAATGAAGTCTTCAGCATATGATTGTATCTCATAAAACTATTTTCTATGAAAATTAAAAGACTACATGGTAAAGCCAATCTGCTTTGACACCTAAAGCATTACAAACATAGGCTTAACACTGCAGAATTAACACCTGTGATAATATAAAATATGAAAATAAGTTGCTAGTTGTAGCAAGTGGAAGCAATGACACAAGAACTCAAATGAAAAAAAAAAAGCTTATTATGGAGGTGTAAAGAAAGAATGCAAGTACCGGAGAATTAATTGTAATCTTTTTTTTAATATATAACATGGCATCCTGCCAAACCACACTCTGTACTTTACTTACTGTTTCAAGCAGCTCTCATTTATTTTTTAGTTTAGCAGGGCATCTATCCCTAGGTATATCTGGATTTACAAAAACAAGCTAAGACCAACCAGCTGCTCTTCACCCATAAGATCAGATAAAGTAGCTGTCTCAAACATTGGTATAGCAGGGGCTACCTTATCAACACAGGGATGTCTGCATTTAAAAGTACACTACAATGTATTGTGATTTCCTACAGTTCCCCCCACACACTTGAGACTATTCATTTTCTTGCCTGCACAAAAATTACATTTCTCAAGACTGACTCCCAAAAATATATGACCAGAGACACCATATTACTAGAAGCCTAATTAGTATGGAGAGAAACGTTCACTCTGCGGGGTAAACTACAGCCATTGGAACAGCCTGGTGACTTTTACTTTGAAAATATTTCTTCTTTAAAACGCGATGACAATGAAATGTGTGTGAGGTCCGCATGAGTACAGCCCCAGATGTTTACGATGCAGTGGAAGTACAGCAGTGCTGCAATCTGAGAGCTTTCCGAAGAAAAGAGGACAACAGGACACCGCAAAGCAGCACATATGCTATTGACCACGCAGACAGGAGCATCATGTTACCAGAGAGAAGGCAGGGCAAAGACAAATAGCAGCGCTGGTGCCTTAAAAGTTAACTTCATGGGCTGCAATCACCCAAAACGCAGCAACATGCAGGGACAGAAATCAAAACCAGAAAAACACTTTTCACGGGATGGGGAGTGGAAGGATTGGGGGCGGGGGCGGGGGGCGAGAGAGAAGTAGATAAATCTTGTGGGGCTTAACGGGAGGTGGGGAATCAATGTATTGTTTTAAACCAGAGTTCACATCAAACCATTCTAATGACAGGGGATAATTGTTTTCAGACTCAGTAGAAAATACCCTCTCTCCACCCCCAGCCCCCTTTACAAATCTTTCTAATTTGCTTTTCTGCCAGCCCAGGAAACCAATTGTGTTCACTCAAACCATTTGCAAAACAAATTTCTGGAGAGAGATGAGATGTGCAGATAGGAGAAGGATGCAGCGAGCAGAGTCCAAAGAGACACCCCCCTACCTCTCTCTCTCTCTCTCTGTCACCTTCCCAAGCAAGTGCTCTTGAGAACTAAAAGTTTGGATGGCGGGGGGGGGGGGCATGTAAGCAAACGAGATGCACCGGTAGTGGGGTGACTGTCCTGGTTGTGTAGGGCTTTTCAGGGGGGCGAGGGGTGTGACATGGATTGGGCTCCCTCTGGGCGCTCAGGTTTTAGGGGGTGCGGGGAGGCAGTACTTACTGTACGGGCAGTTCTCCTTCTTGGTCCCGCTGACCTTGCCGTTCTTCTCAATCTTGAGAAAGTACTTGTTGTAAGAGTAGAGCTTCCTCCAGCGCACATCTCCCTGGAGGTGATTGTAGCTCCGCACGTGCCTCCCTGCACTGGCAGGCGAGGAGAAGGATGAAGAGGAGGAGGAGGAGGAGGATGAAGAAGACGCGTTGGTGGCCTCTGGGGACCGCATGTCCTGGCAGATGACAGACCCAGAAGACACCAAGAAGAGCAGCAGGAAGAGGCAGCCGCCGCTGCAGCAAGGCAGGTGGGAAAAGGCGGAGGCACCATTTGTCAGTATCCATTTGCACATTGTACTGAAACGCTGGGCGCTGGAAAATGTCTCATCAGAAGAAACATACTGGAAGGGTAAAAGCTGGTAAAAGGCAAGTGGAGAGCTGGTGGCTGCTGCTTCTGGTTAGAGCCCCCTGAGCTGTGATCTGGCCTGAAGTGAGTGCACCAACATCCATAACTCGGGACAAATCGCCTCAGAAGTTGCTGCCTTTTTAATCCTCCGAGTCCTCCCTCACGGAAGAAAGTTGGTGGGGTGTGTGTGTGGTGGTGGTGGTGGTGATGGTGGTTAATCCTCTCTCCTTTTACTCTCACCCCCCCTCCCCAACCTGGTCTGAGGCTTCCCCGTGGTTATTTCGTTCTCTTCCTCCCTCCTTTCTTTACCATCTTAGATGCAGAAAGGTCTGAAAAATAGATGACAGCAGAGTGAACAACGATAGCAACAATAAATAACGACTCGAACCCAAGGGGGGTACTGCAGGGGGTTTCTTGCCCCAAGCCCACACACCCTCCCCTCCTCCCCCCCCCCTTGATGGCTTTTGCACCTTCTTCTGATTTCCCCACCCCCTTTCCTTGGCAAAGCGCAAGCGGGTTGTACAACTCGTCCCCTCTCCCTGACAGCCCAGAGGAGGCAGTTTCTTTGTTTTGCTTTGAATCCTCCAGAAAGTACCAAAAAAAAAAAAAAATTCCAGAGAGAGAGAGAGAGAGAAATCCCAACTTCTCTCCCCCGTCTGGTTGTAAACAGGTTGGAAGCTGTAGCCTCAGTGTATGTCAGTGATTACAAGCAAGAGGTGGGATGTGCCTCTGGTGGTCAACCCTTATTTGCAGGGGGTCAGGCAGCGGTGGGACATCTGAAACCCTTTTGCAGCTGGAGTGAGCAAATGCCTGCTGTGGAGGGAGCCTCCGGACGGAACTTCCTCCCAGTCTGCGGCAGAAGCAGCGGCAAGCAGCCTCCCGCTCGTTGCTAATTGCTCCTAAAGCGTTCTTCTCCTCCGAGTGCTGGCCACCAGCATGGCTTGGAGACTCATGCTTTACTAATTCCCCTGTCTTCCAGGCTGAACCAATCCCCTCTAGGGAACCCCCCTTCTTTCCTTCCTTCTTCTTCTTTTTTTTTTTTAAATGCTTGTTTTCTAGCGCAGGATTTGATTTGATTTTTTTGGCAGTGAAGTGCTTGAGAGAACCACCTGGAGCTTGTTGCTGTGCTGACTTCCCCCACCCCCCTTCCTGGGCTAGAGAAGGGATCGGGGGCGAGACTGGTTAGAAGAATATAGTGAAGACAAGCCCTGAAAAGTAAGATTATATGTTGGTCAAGGAGAGTAAAAGGGAAGACACATAATTAGCTCCCTTTCCTTCCCCTCTGTCAGCTTCCATGGAGGTCTCGCCCCCCCTTTAATGTATCATTGATTTCTCGCTTCCGTCGCTGAAATAAGAAGTTCACACTTTACCCTGCTCTTCCTTTTAAGCCTCTCAAGATTTATCTCCCCTCACCCTCCTGGTCTCAAATGAAATCGGGGATCTAAATGACCTATGATTTCTAATTATTAACATGAGTCATTGACTGAATCACGCATCGGACTTCAAAGCAAAAAGGGGCTTTTATGGGGATTGCAAAATTTTCCTCATAAAATCTGTCTGAATGGGTTTCTGTGGGTTTTTTTTAAGCCAACAATTAACAGTACATCACACAGGGTTGCCTAAGTTGTTATACCTTAATAAGGGGCCAGGGAGTGCCCCTGCTCGTGCTTAAGGACAGTCGGTGCACAAGACATTAAACTGTACATCAGCATTCATCAATGCAACATAATCCGTATAAAATGCAAGATAACGAAACATTATTAAGTAAGAGACTCGATTACAGAGGGAAACTGACATTATGTGGAAACAAAATGGGTTATACTGTGCATAAGCATGGAACTTATCTGAAACAGGCATAGTCAAAGAGAAATAATGCAGATCAATAGAATACAATGGGAAAAACAGCCTCTGCCATTATATTGTTCATTTGGAATCAATCTTACGTTGAACAGCAGAAAATACATAAAAGACAAATAGTTATAAAATTAGATTGATTCATTAGGCTGGGCTCTTTAGTATATTGTTAACTTCACAGTAGAAAATTAGAAATGATTTTCTCCAATTTTGGTGTTTACTCAGTTGCAAAAGAGTCAGCTCTTAAATTTATGTGCTTAGATTCTGCGGGTGACATTTAAACAACCTTAAAAATGGAACCATTTAATGCTGGAATCAATATGTTTTATGATGTTGTTTATGTTACTTCAGAATATTTATTCTTCATATTTTCACTGTGGTAAAGGCTTCAGAAAATTCTCAGGCTTAATTTGATTTAAGATTTATTTTTGCAGTTACTAATCTTAAAGAGAAAAGAAAAAGAAAAAGTCTATTCTATAATGAATGGCTGACAACTTTAATGTGGCCACAATGTTAATTTCAATTTTCTAGCTCATAGTTTTATACCTGGGTTACCCACAATGTCTGAAAGATACGGTATAGGGTTTCTGAGGGATTTGTGTTTCAGCCAAAAGTTCAGCTGATTCAAAAAATTTAAAATGCCAAGTAATTAAAAATACATGTCTTTTAAATTGTATGTGTGATGAAACTATCTGATTATAGCACTTTGTGCTAACAAATGTTACAAAATGCAACAATTTTTTTTAGAGTTTCTCTGCACTGGGAAGAGAAAATATCACAGGAAGGTAAAAAGGCTTTACTTAAAATATTATTTAAAGCCTCACATCTGAATTTTCTGCTCACGTGAGAAATTCTACTTAGACTTATTTGTAACTTCTGCTTGGTTGCATGAATGAAAAATAAAAATTGCAACTTTAGAAGTTTCATATTAAATCTGGTTCTGGCAGGTGCAATACTTAGTGCAGTACTTAAAACCACTACAACAGATAGAGTCCTTTTCTATACTGTGTGATGACAGGGAGGGCATTTACAAAACAGAGCCCAAATGAAAAGCTGACATAGCTTTTTAGATTATATCTCATTCCTTTTTCTACTTTCTGTATAGCCTTTCTTTTATAGCACAGTTGAATCCCTAAATACCCCACTACTTTGTATTGTTAGGTCACCTCTTAGGTTAGCCTGAGAAAGCCTGAGAAAAGTTCCACAGGAAAGATGCACTATTTAACGGAATTCAATCTGTCCCAATAGATTTGAATCACTAACATAAATGTATGAATGTAGATTATATCTCTGTAATGAGGCCTGAATCATTCTCAGTTACTTCAAAGGACTGAAATTCAACCTTCCTTTTTAGCAGCAACAATCAGACCTTAATGGGTTCCTTTATTAATTGTTCCACTGCTAAGTTTGAAAAGGAACTAACTTCAGTACAGGTCCTACACTAGAAGTGGTACCTACTACCTCTAAAACTGTTTCTTTCTTGCCTCCAAGCTCTTTACGATTTTCACATAGCTTACTTAGCGGCATTCTCAAACATTCAGTTACATTGACTCATCTACATTGAAACAAAGCAACCCTCCTTCTCAAAAACTTATGCAACGAGTAAAAAACATTTTTCAGGGTGCTGTTTCGGCAGATCAACTTTCCTAAGAATGTTGGGGGAAATGAAGTACATACAGGAATTTTAATTGGAAATATTCATAACAATCTACTAGCTTCCTATGGTTGTATTGCATTTTTTTTCCTTTTGATCAGTAGAGTTTTTTTTACAGTATGAATTGCAAGTGTTCCTGTAGTTAGATAAAATTTCATTTTTGAATTGCAGGAGTATCTCAAGGGTGGACATACTAGGCTCTACCTACTTTTGATTTCCCTCAAACTGTCATCTTTACTTGGTGTTGTAAGTAACTTCTATGTCTTTAAATTTGCAGCGTTGTCACCATCTTGGTCCCAGGATATGAGACAAGGTGGGTGAGGTAATATCTGTTATTGGATCAACTTCTGTTGGTGAGAGACAAACTGTCAAGCTCCACAGAGCTCTCTTCTTCAAGTAACCCTGAAAGGTTGGTTTAGGTAATAAACTTGTCTGAGGAAGAGCTCTGTGGAGCTTGAAAGCTTGTCTCTTTCGCCAACAGAAGTTGATCCAGTAACAGATATTACCTCACCCACCTTGCCTCTCTTATATGTTTAAGTGTTATTTTAGTCAGTTCACTCTGAAATACCACCAGCTTCCTGTGCAGACTTTGGACTGCTGGATAGTAATCATGACCATTTGCTGCTGACTGTGTAATTAGAGATGTGTATTCACCTTATTGGATCCAATCCTGCTCCCATTCTAGTCCATAGGAATTTTGCCAGCCACTGCAATAAGAGCAGATTTGGGCCAGTGATGTCATTGGTAAAGAGAGTGCTGCCAGAAATGATGTAAAGAATGCTACATGACAGCAATGATGCAAACAATGCAGTCTGTAGGCCAAATGCAGGCTGCAGAGTTCTGCAACGTGGTATATGACCAATCCCACTTGTACAAAAGTGGCATGACAGGTAGAATCCACAAGTCCCAACATACAATACTCTGTCTCAATGTGAGGCAGGCCAGTCAGACACAGCAATGCATGCTGAAACCTTTACACCATATGATGTACTCCCATAAACGAGGGCAGATGTAATCTGTGGCATTTTATGCAAATTAAGGTTTATGACAAGTCACCATTATGGTCTTCCTGTGAGCAATCTGCAATATAACAAAAATTATCTCTGTCCTTCTGTAGTGCTTTTCCACATATCTCAAAGTGCTTTACAAAGGCAAGCAAACATTATTATTCCCATTTTCCATAGAGTGTGAGGTATAGTAGAAGCTCAGAGTTACAAACACCTCGGGAATGGAAGTTGTTTGTAACTCAGAAATGTTCATAACTCTGAACAAAACGTTATGGTTGTTCTTTCAAAAGTTTATAACTGAACATTGACTTAATACAGCTTTGAAACTTTACTATGCAGAAGAAAAATGCTGCTTTTAACCATCTTAATTTAAATGAAACAAACACAGAAACAGTTTCCTTACCTTGTCAAATCTTTGTTTTTAAACTTTCCCTTTATTTTTTAGTAGTTTACATTTAAAACACTACTGTACTGTATTTGCTTGTGTGTGTGTGTTTGTTACTGCCTGATTGCCTACTTCCAGTTCCAAATGAGGTGTGTGGTTGACTGGTCAGTCCGAAACGCTGGTGTTCATAACTCTGAGGTTCAACTGTATAAAGAAATTAAGTGACTTGCTCAAGTTCACAAAGAGTGAAACTCATTCCTATGCATAAGACCAGCACAATGCACCCTTTACGACCCACTTAATTGGGTTTTAAGTGATACACAGACCTTGGACACAGGCCCTCTGCACATGGGTGGATTTAATCCACAGTGAGTAAGTGGCAGAGATGGGAAAAGAACCTACATATATTCATTTCTAGACCCATTCTCAATCCAGTAGACTGTAGTTGCTCATTGCTGTATACATTGCCTATTGCAATATAGATGACTGCCTGGGTAATATTACC